GGTTTAACGTCCCAAAACCACCATATGAATATGAGAGACGCCGTAGTGGAGGGCTCCGGAAATTTCGACGACCTGGGGTTCTTTAACGTGCACCCAAATCTGAGCACACGAGCCTAGGATTTTCGCCACCATCGAAAGCAAACAAGAAATGGACAAAGTGGGACAATCTATGGTTACATAACGCGTTTCTGGATACAAGTACACGACCATTTTGCATTTAATATTGGCTAGTTCTCAACGGTATTTGCTTTATGGTCGGTGAAGTGTTGGGTTGGTGACGGGACGTAGTGGAATGTTTGCAAAAACGAAGTAGTGGGCAGTTGGCAAAGGAGGAACTATAGGTGCTCACGTACGCACGTACATACATACATACATACATACATACATACATACATACATACATACATACATACATACATACATACATACATACATACATACATACATACATACATACATACATACATACATACATACATACATACATACAAGGGATGGACAGGCCCGCGCCTTTAGGAGCTTCGCCCCTAGAAGGATATGACAGCACAATGCATGATCACCTGCGACGTCCGTCTATCTGTCCGTCCTTTTTACTAGTCGGCAACTTCAACGTAGACATTATGTACCTTATGACCTAGCTTCGCCCACGCGTCATCATTTACTTCGTGGAGATTCGTGGATTTTTTTTTTTTCTTCTCGAGTGAAGTATATGAATTGCAGCCGTTGCCTAGAAGTGATTTTGTTTCGAGAGCAAACATCGTACGAAGGCTCAAGGCTGCATTCAGCACCATGCAACGTAGACAGTAAGTACTATGACGCGTTCAGCGGTCTTCCGGGCCCCGCCCAAGGTGACGAGTGACGATGCACTAAGTGGTTCTTAAGAGAGAAAGGAAGAGAAAAGTGAGCTCCGTAACTGTCTGCTTCAGCGAGCGACACCTCAACAGTAGCTCACAAGGGATGGGGGTGAGGAGGGATTAAAAGGGTAGGAATAAAGGTGTAGAAAAGAGAAAGAGGCGTGAGGTGGTAAGCCAGAGAGAGCACTAGTCCTGATAACGTCGACGAAGGTAGCGTTGTCGTGCTGCCAACTGGCGGGGACGCTTGGCTGAGGCTTCACATCTTGGTTCGTCTCAAATCGTTAGTCTTCGACGCCCCGCTTCGAATGCTTCGTCGTGTACTCGTCAGCGTGCGAGAATATCGATCGCCGATCTCAACAGCATTATGTGATGGCATGTTAAACAGCTGTACGTGACTAACACCAGTGGCGACAAGGGCCTCTTTGTGGGAGGGAGAGAGCACCGATGATTGGTTGTAAAAGGTATGAGCTAGAACTGTGCATGCAACATACGTCTCTCGATGCGTCTTCGTAATGCATTGAACGTTCGCCTTACACCACCAGAGAATGTGCCCAAGTCGGGACGGGACGCTTTACGGCGTACGCCTTCGCAGTATACAGTCTGGGCCTTCGTTTCGGAAGCGATAATTGTGAAGCGCTTGGTGGTTTTCTCATGTGTTCTTTTTTAACGAGTGGAAATAACGGCCAGCTTTAACATAAACATGCACGGGCTTTTGAACCAGAATATCAGAGAAAGTTTTAAGGCCGACCCACCGCAACGACTTCGCGTTTTAGCTATACCCTAGCCTTGCCAAGTTACAACATTGACCTGTTGTCACGTTCTAGATCTTCGCCCGCCCTAATTATTCGAAATTTCGTATGTTAGCTATTCGAAAGTGAGATCGGATTAATCTATCAGGTATGATTCGATTCGAATTCGAAACTCGAATATTCGCCCGCTCCTATTGTTTACTAACCCACCAAATGGCGCGAAGGCACTAAGGGTGCTGGAGTAACTGCATATGCTACCTTTAGGTAGCGGAGTAGCGGATTTGTTTTCTAACGCTGGTAGCAACCACGCACTGCAGAGAAGCTGGTGCACAGGCCGGACCGCCAAAAGTGGTCGAAGTCATGCATCTGGAATCTATAAAATGACTGTCGTTCGCTCTGTCCTCGTTAGCTACAAACTGGTGTTTTTATTTGCTTCATATTCCGGTTCTTAAGCTTCGACAGCAAAGTATATATTCGCGTGAATTCGGCGCCATTTTCAAAAAAACATTCTGAAATAATCAATGCTGTAGGCTTAGCGGGGTGCCCTTTGAATCTCGGATGACCTACATTTTGTGTTTGGGAGTTGTTGCATATCTTCCATAGCTGGCGCAACTTGACCATGTGGTAGTGGTGGTGCGTGTTCAAAAGAGTAGACTGTTGGGCCAGCTGGTACTTTGACAGATAAAAAATCGTGAGAGCGCAACTAAACACAAGACACAAGAAGTGTCTTCGTCTGTTTTTTTCTTGTGTGTTGTGTTTAGTTGCGCTCTCGTGATAGTTTCTATAGTCAGTGCATGTTATTTCGCACTACGCTACCTACGCCTTCGCGTTTTGCGTTGCAGGACAGACTGAAAATGCTTTCAAACTCCCATGGCACAGTCCCGAAAGCATGTGTTTCTTCTTTCTTGGTCGGCCTTTGACACGCCAGGCACGTCGGCTGGTGATCGGCGACACGCTTGGTCGATCGGCGCCAGGCTTAAGCAAGTCGCCCGCAAAAACAGAGCATGGCTTGGCCGCGTAACTATGGTTGCTAACCAGGCAAGATGACGGACCTATGCGCTACTCTGCTCCCAGAGGGAGTATATACAGTTACTCTAAAGGGCGCGTTTGGGTGCGTCGTTCATTTTCCGTCGCAGCTCACGGGGAAGGTGGTTGCGCGCCAGAAGGCGCGATCGTCCGTGGACGCGCGGATATATCTAGAGGGGTTCGACAAATGCCTCACAGCTTTGTAACTTGTTCGCTTTGATGCTACACTGCGCCGTGCTCCCTATCGGGCTGCAGAAATCAGGTGCCCTTTTCCTCTTCTAGCCATTACTACCACCAGGTCACTTCACTGACTGCAGTGAAAGCACTTGTCGAAGTAGCGAGCTGCTGGCCTTTCTACGTAAAAAATTCCAATTTGTTGCTGTCACATTCGTTGCTTCGCCCTTGCGGTGAAGCTGTTACTCTTTTCTTAATTAGAGGAAACTGGTGATCGAGTAAAAATGAATAATTGTGTCCCTTCCTATACGAAGAGCCCCTTGCCGCTTTTAGATTCCAGAAACGCGGTCGTCAGTGATTTCTTCAGGTTCACATAACATGTCCAGTTAATCAGGTGGAATCGAAATAGAGACGCTGAAGAGCGCGACCCCTACTCGCTGCTGTGGGAGTCGGCATCCCCGTTCACTGGCTGTCACCTCATGCATCAGGAATGAGGAGGCGGGCAAATTCTTCTAAGCTGCCTTGCAGTACGTCACACACAAGGGGCCACTGCCCCCCAGACATCTCCAGATTCCGGCTGAACGATCTCCCCATCACAAATCGGGCACTAGGTAGCCTGCAAATGTGCTTGCTAAGCTATTTTCCGGGAGTGCGCTCTCTCGTCTAGAGCAATCTACACATCTTTGCCTCTTTGCACCCCCGATGGTCAAGTTCTATGCTAAGTGCCCCATCTCCTGTGCAACTTAGAAGTGTGGCAGCTTGGGCTAGTTGGTATGGCATGACGATAATAATAGCGAGAGAACAGAACGACGACACGGGAGCTCGCAGTCACGGTGATCGCCACGTCCCAACTGTATTCCAGGCAATAGGCACTCCCCTCCCCATCGGTCCCAGACGACGAGCCAAACCACTCTTTTGACCCGCCGCCTTACCGTCGCGTGATCGTCCATGTCCGGTTGGAGGAGTCCGTAGCTGGGCCACGGGGGTCAAGAATGCCGAAAACATTTTCACTAACCACCCGCCCCCGTCCTTGGCGGCGGGCCGCGTGCTCGGACGAGTAGGGGTGTCAACAGGACAGGTTTCTTTCTTCTTTTTTCGGCAGCCGAGTAGGCCGGAGGCACTTCGAACTTTTTGCGGGCTCTCTTTGAAGACGCGCGTGTGGCAACGTTTGCAGTTGGAACTGCCCTCGGCCCGGGCTTTATTACCCCAGTTTCTCATTGCGTGTGCGGACGGACCACGGACGTTCTTACTGTCACGTGAATAGGTCGTCCGCTGGTCGGTCCGTCGTCTGTATACACGGACCTGCTCTACTCGGCACATCCCCCCCCCCCTTCCAGGCCTATCCTGCTTGACTATGTGGTCGGCCTTCTGCAAGCCTCTGCCCGTGCCCTCGGCATCTGTCTGTCTCAGATGACGGCCCTCCTCCAAGGCTCATTCATGAATCTACTCTCATTCTGCCTTCTACTTCACCTCTTCTCTAGAACGATAAGCCGTGCTTCGCGATCGACTGCAGAAATGAGCGCTATTTCTTCTCCTGAACAATTAGTACGCACGGGAGATAGCTTCGCCGAATGGCCACGTCACCCTGGCTGTCGGAGTCTTGTTTCATCCACGCGTTCCCTGTCTGCGCAAGCTGTCTCTTAAAAAAAAAAAAAACTCCATGTATAAAAATAAGTTCTATAGGAAAAGCACATGGTGGCAGTAGTGAATTTACGGACCGATGCCTTGATGTAGATAAGCCAAGTGTCTTACCCACTAGGCTAAGTCATGACCTCCTAGAAAGTGGGCCAGAACAGCCAAGTGTCTTACCCACTAGGCTAAGTCATGATTTACTAGAAAGTGGGCCAGAACACTCTAGTTTCTGACGTAAACTGAAAGCCTGACTCGCCACTTTCGTCACGACAGGCTTGGTAATAGAAATTCCGCACGCGCAATGTTCAAGCCTGTGTAAGAGGTGTTTCGCACGGTTCCGTCTTTCTCCCTCTTTCTTCTTTCTCGCCGTGGCGATGGTTTCTCCCGTTACGAACAATAGCCGGGTAAAATACACTGGCACACCATTTCCGTCTCGCTCGAAAGGAGAACTGGAGACGCAAGCGGAGATCAGTCCACGCCTCGTGCTCGCATTGCGGGCAAAGCACGTGACGCGCGCCATCGGCAAGCACGACGGGATAGAAAAGTCTGCGCAGTTGTATTCCAGATGGCTTCTCCGACAATTACAGCATTGACCATTCTGCTTCTTTTCGAACAGGGTAAGTCGCTTCGCTAAGTATCCACCGAGTCGGCGACGTAGTACGTATATGTTTTAGTGAGCGGAGGGGAAGCAACTGACAAGTTCTTGGGGAGAGAGAACACGGCAGACGGGTGTTGTCGAGCGTCGTTCTTTTTTTTTTTTCAAGTACCTGAAGTAAATAGAAACGTTGTTCTCAGTACTGCTTTTCATTGCCTCTAGATACTAACTTTTGTATAGATAGATAGATAGATAGATAGATAGATAGATAGATAGATAGATAGATAGATAGATAGATAGATAGATGAATGGATAGATAGATAGATATATAGATAGATAGATAGATAGATAGATAGATAGATAGATAGATAGATAGATGAGACATAAAAAGCAGCGAGGTTAGCGGAAGTATCCAGTTCGCTATCCTGAACTTCGAAAACAGTAAGGTGATACATAAAAGATAAGAATAAAAGGAGAGAGAGAACATAAAAAAAACTGACGGACGGCAGGGACATTTTTTCTCATGGACGATTATTTAAACTATCGGCCGCTGTCTGTGTGGTGGCGGCTGTAGAACCGTTCCCATCGACTGTTGGCCCACAGGGTAGGGAGGGAAGTTCTGTGCTTCTTCCACGACGATTTGCCTGTGCGAACGCCTTCGATTCGCACGTACACGCCATGGCATTTATTGCTCATTTGCTTATTTACTTGCCGTCCGATCTATTTTCTTTTCCGATTGCCCAGTTTAGGGTGGTCAATCTGGCATATTTTGGCCAAACTATGTTTCTTGCCTCATTTCTGATATTTCATGCTAACATGTAACAATACAAAAAGGCAGGAAAGGAAAAAGAAGGCTTCCGATGAGAAATTCGTAAACTGGGAGTGTGTGTAATTGGAGCCAACGTTTCGACTAATTAACTTTTTTTTTTACTCAAAGGGGCCCTGCAACACTTTTTGAGCATGGTCAGAAAGCGCGCGAGTTAAGTGTTATGGCGCAGCACGCGGTCTGGAATTCACAATAAATTATCAAAGTCAGCTAAAGTTAATTTCTCTTCTCCGGACAAATCACGGAATAAGCCCGAAAATCCCTCGTACTAAGCCCATCTATGAGCCATTGGCTGATTTGAACATGGCGCGCATCGTCGTTACAGAGATCGCCGCGAGAGACCTCGACTTGTCCACGCGTTCGCGCACGATCACACTGAAAGCCACGCATTCGAAGAAAAAAAAAAGAAAAAAGAAGTGCTGTAGCTCACGAGGGGTGTGGTGCGTTTCTCTTTGCGCCTGCCATCCCTCCCTGCATAGCCTCTAGCGCTTTCGTTGAGACGAGAAAAGAGAGAATGCAATCGCAGCATGCCACGAATCTCACACTGGACGAATTTTTAAAATTTTTTGCGCTGTTCAATTGGTGAGGCAATAAGCTCTTCCAGAAAATTCATTCCATGGTTACTTGAAGAAGTGTTTCAGGGCCCCTTCAAAAGTTGGAGCCTTGGAAGAAGACGAGCCCATTTGTGGAAACGTCGACTCCAGCGCACACTCTCTGTTTACAAATTTCTCATAACATGCAACAACAAATTTGCCCTAATATTAAGTGCTGCAGTGAAGCACAATAAAAACAGAAGAGCTAATTATGTATTATGCAAAGAAGCATCTCACCACTCGCGGATGCGTTTTTTTTAGTTTTGAATAGCCCATACTGCAAAACTACTTTGCAACTCCCTCCTGCCTTGATGATCCGGGGCTGACTCGTAATATACGTTACGCACTGGTTTCACGGCCCCCGTTTTTATCTTCTGTGTGTTTGTGTGTTCTTTAAGGCATAAGACTTCGGAGTTGATCTAACAAACTTCGAGTTTTCGTGTGTGTATTTTTTCGCTACGTGTGCTTGATTTTAAAGTTCGACTACTTAAAATCATCGGCAGACGCGAACATTACGAGCACCAAAATAGGTACATTTTACGAAAAGAGCGAACAAGCCCCCCAAACATGACAAGCGACTGGGTGAAAAAAAGGGAAGTTCAAATCCTTTCGATACAAGCACACAATGACAATCCTGGTGTCTGTGCGCGTTGGTTTACGATTCGTCGTGTCACTCGAGTGTACTGTGCAGGCAATGATGAAAAATAAAACCTCTGTCCTGAGCCTAACTGGCCGCCTGTCTCGCCCCTAGGGAAATGCGACCTGTGCGACATCTGCCGTCGGAAGCGAGACAGCGCGGTTCGTTTGCCGTACAACCAACGGTGGTACTTCGACGCCTCCTCATTTCTCTGCCAGCCGTTCAACTTCTGCGACGACGAGATCACCGAACGCATGAAGAGCCGCAAGTCCAAGGCTGAAATCAACTGCGGAGGTGAGACTGCGACGGCATGCTGTACAGGCCTCACCTGCACCTCGCCTTCGCAAGCGATTCGTACGTTAAAATTCTTCATAACGTCTTCCAAGAACAGGTATTGATGGCACCAAGTATTTGCATGAGCTTGACTATGTGTCTTCAGCAGTAAGGTCTGCAACATATTTGGTAAGTCATCAAGATTGAGAATACATATTTAAGTGGTTTGTTTGTACAGTACTAGCTCCGTAATGTTTGCTGTAGACATTAGCATGTTGAGGTGTTTTATTCTATCTTCCCTGTAATATGTTTTTATGCTATCTCCTCCTCTCTCTGTATTGCCCATGAAGGCAATGTAGTTATTTGCCTTAATAACTAACTAACTAACTAACTAACTACTAACTAACTACTAACGACCTAACGAAACGTAAGACTAACTAACTAACTACTAACCTAACTAACTAAACTAACGAACTACTAAGCTATAACTAACTAACTAACTAACTAAAAGCTACCGACTAACTAACAACTAAATAACTAACGAACTAACCAACCAACCAACCAACTAACTAATATTACATTAACTAACTAACTAACTAACTAACTAACTAACTAACTAATTAACTAACTAACTAACTAATTAACCAACTAACTAACTAACTAACTAAACCTCTCAGACTCGTGTTTGTTCTTATGAGATTGGTATTACTACGAATTGTTCAGTCGGTCGAGCAGAATTGCAAGCTTCTATAAAAGTGCTCCTAGATAATAGCCGCACTACACTAACTAAATGGTATTCGCGAAGAGCATAAATTGCAGGGTTTGTGGGAGTGGTCACTGGAAAAGTAGTCATCATATAAATACAATCATGTCGCTTCTTATATACTTTCCGCCGATAAAAACAACGTGCTTTGTTTCTTGAAACATAACATAAAGAAATGGTTGAGATCGATATAATTTTGTTTCCTGAGAAAGCTACCGCGATTACTGGAAAAGTCTGAAGACCAATCTAGATCGCCCAGCTTGCAATGAACTCGTGCATAATAACAACAACAACAACAACAACAACAAAAAAAACAGATATAGGTCGACCCTTATCTCCATAGAAAAGCCAAGTACGCTGAATATGAGACACAGTTATTTGCGACGGTCTCCAAACATCCCTTACTGTTTTTCCTGAGGCTGTTTCTTTTTCTTGCTATTGTTTAACGTGTCCACTTACCGAGAATGTGCGCCTGTTTTTCTATAGTGCAGCCAAAGCCTGCCCTACTTGAAAGACAGGAGGCTCGACGCAGCAGCTCCATTTGCGTTCCTTTGCTTTTGCTAGCTTCGTTCGTGGATATAGGTCAAACTGCGTTGGTAGTGAATAAAGTTGACTAACTAGTTTTCATAAATCGCCGAATAAATACGGGAGCTGGACGTGTAAATATGTAGTCCGTTTTTATATGCATTTTTCTTATTTTGCAGACATCTCAGTACGTTAATAAGTCAACTGTGCTCCGCTGCATGCCTAGTGTCGTTGTTCTCACCGATGAAATTCGCGCTGACATTTGCGTGCACATGGGTGTCTGAAATTCGACCACATGCTTGTATACAGCAACACTATCAAGGCGATTGGGCAGCCCAGAACGATGAATGCCACTTAGAAAAGAAGCCAGATGATTCTTGTCTCATCACATATTCCTGTTATGTTTCCTGTGGAATGTTTACTGTGTAAATATTCCGGTGGAATGCTTCTGAATTTATTTAGAAGAATGAACCAGTTCTCAAGGCCTAAAAAACTGTCACAGTTTCGCCGCCAGGGTGAGGCGATAAGTGCGATAAAACAAATTGAAATGGTATGCGAGGTATAGCAGGCAACACATCTAGCATGCAGGCATAACGTAAAAAAAAAGAATAACGTGAGCTCAAGGAAGCATAACCAGTGCAGCGACTGATGCGACCTGCACGTTCTATCACACCATTGCAGACTGAACGCCGAGACCAGTACGTTCAAAGATGCCTGACACCCGCAAGAGTACCCGCGTGGGACCACACCCGACTGAGAAATTTGCAAGCCTTGACCCCCCTCCCCCATTTTATGATCCCTTCTTGCACTTCTAGAGGACTAGCAGGCTAAAAAACCACTTCCCAGGCCGACCTCTCCTCCTTATCAGCAAACACCTTAATTCTTCTTCTTTCTTCTGCAAAAGTCGGCTGGCGTGTTTTCTCTGCGCTATAGACAAGCGCTTGTTGGCTCACTTACACACTTTCAACAACGCGCTTTCAACAATGCATAAAACATACTACACGCGGAGCGTTGTTATGAATGTAGGCTTTATATGAAACATCATGGCGGCACCAACACCGACGGCAAAGTGGGCTGTAAGTGCTGGCGGCATGCTAGCGTGCCCACGCACGCCGCTTGTGATCTTGAAGTAAATGGTTCACAGCATTAAAGAACGATCACAAATTGCGGGCTCGTTACTGTTGTAAGGACAAGACCCTTTGTAGAAATTTCTTTTTAGAGTATACGTGTATTTTAAATGAAAGCCTTCTGTCGTTCCAAATGCCGGAATAGCTTGGATATTGGATTGGATTGGATAAACTTTTATTTGGTCCTCCAAAACACAGATCACTGTGTTGCGGGCAGCTCCCACGTGGGGACTGAGATGCCGAGCTCCTCAGCCGCCTCGCGGGCTTGGTGGACAGCCCAGAGCTGATCTGCCAAGGACGAGCTGCGGATTGCCGCCTCCCATCTGGCAGAGGTGATGTGCGATAAATGAGCGAATTTGGTGCACTGCCAGAGCATGTGTTCTAATGAAGCTATTTTCCCACAATGTGGACAAAGATTACTTGGGTATAGGTCAGGGTACATGATGTGTAACATTTTCAAAGTAGGGTACATCCGCGTTTGCAAAAGCCTTAATGTAAGTGCTTGGGGCCGGGTTAGATTTTTGTGAGGTGGAGGGAAAATCCTTCTAGACAGGTAGAAATGTTTAGTGAGCTCGTTATATGTTGTAAGAATTTCCCGGTTATCCCCTTCACCGGTAGAACGCATCCCCGGGGAGGCGCGGTTGGAGAGTTCTCGCGCCGCCTCGTGTGCTGCTTCGTTGAGATTGGGAGCGGAATCGTTGATTTGTCCAAGGTGAGCTGGGAACCAACTCAGAAGATGATTTGTTATGTTCTTGCCTTGCAGTATTTTCAGCGTTTGTTCACAGACCGTCCCCTTGGCGAACGCCCGTAGTGCTGCCATGGAATCACTGTAGACGACTTCAATGTTATCCATCTTGAGTGCTAAGGCAATGGCCACTTGTTCCGCAATGATTGGGTCTTTCGTCCTGACCGTCGCTGAGTTGACGACATGGCCAGCCCCATCGACTACCACTGCCACAAACGCTTTCCCATTGGCGTAGGAAGCCGCGTCAACAAATACGACCCCTCGTTCCTCGTTTGAGACTTGACGAAGTATAGTCCTGGCCCTCGCTACTCTTCTTCCGACGTCGTGTTCTGGATGCATGTTTCTCGGTATAGGAGATACCGTGATAGTCTCCCTGATGTTGTCAGGGATATCATTGTAATTGCGTCTGATTGCCATTGGGTGTTGGCCCAGCTCCTGCAGGATCATTCTCCCCGACCTTGTAGTAGATAACCTTGCAAACTGTGCTCTCTCTTGGGCTTCTGCTATTTCTTCGAGCGTGTTGTGTATGCCAAGCTCAAGGAGACGCTCGGTGCTGGTATGTATGGGTAGGCCAAGGACCTTCTTGATAACTTTCCTGAGGAGCACATTCAGTGTCTCCGACTCTGCTCTTGACCAGTTGTGCATTGCTGCCTCGTATGTGAAGTGACTTAGAACAAACGCATGCATCAACCTGATGAGGTTGTCTTCCTTGATCCCATTTCTTTTGTTGGCCACTCTGCGTATGAGGTGCACCGCACTGTCATAGCTTGGATAGGTCTACCATATATTTGGCTATAGAAAAATACACACGAAAACTACTCTTTAAAAAAAAAAAATGAGCCACAATGGGGGCCAGCTCTCACAACGCAAACACCTTTATAACAAGCTAGCGTTAAAGAGGTCGTTTCGCAGAAATTCTGGCGTCGGCGTCGTTGTTTGTGAGCGAAAAATCATCATCTTGATCGGGACCAAAAAAATCGAGGCAGATGCAAATAGAGTAAATAATAAAATTTCAGGGTTTGAGTGAGGATTGCACCGAAACCGTTTGCGTGACATGCCGGAGTTCTATACCACACATTCACGCATCTGCTCGGAAATACTGATAAAGCAGGTTCTGCTTGGAAATGCAGTGAGAATAATGTTGATGCTTTATAAGCACACGCGTCCTGTACACAGGCTTCACAACACAGCATGTAATATCGCAGTAATATTGTGTGGTACAAGCGTATATTGCCATCGGGCGTAAGGACTCGTGATTATCATAACGACTTCGTGGTTTAAAGCCGGCCACCCATTACAAAAGGCATACACGTTACTGCGCGTGTTCCTTTAAGACCACGTGAGTGCATAGCATGTTAGAAAAGATTTCACGCGCATAATTGCTCATGGTTCAAAGCACGGTATTTATCACACAAAATGCAGCCATATTCGAAAGCTTCACTGACACAAACCACCTTAAAATGTATTGATAACATTGTTGTAATCCACATTGTAAACTTCTCGGATAACACCGTGCAAAAAAAAAAAAAACGTATGCGCTAAGTGGTTGAAGTAGGCACTATTTGGGGTCAGGATATTGCTATCGCGTTCAACTCTTAAAAGCGACGATTAAGGATCCCCAAATTTCATTCTGTGAGATCATCAAATAAGGCTCGTCGATTTGTTTTCCCCAACAAATTTAATTAGGTATACCAATGCAAAGACAAATAATAATGAATAATGTATAACCCATCAAAAAAAAAAAGACTGCGTGTCTCTGCATCTGAAATCCTCCATATGATCGTCTAATGTTCCCAATATGAAAGTTTGCATGATTTCATATAAATATATTGTTGTTACCACATGTGGCATATTGTTACCAGATGCGGTAACAATATTTTTCCTCATGCACTATTATAACTAAAAAGTTTCTAGAGTTTTACTATATACCAACAGGCATGTCTAAGTGCAAGTTAATCTACTGACTTTGTGTGGGTCTTGAATGAATTATCTAAAGCTAAGCATGGCCACCGAGATTGTGCGCTGGGAGGTTTCTGCCGCACTCTCGGAGGCCAAGAGCTAAGTACACAGCCTTTTTTTTAAAGTCGCTACTATCCAAATGTGGCCGCTGATGCTGGGAATCAAACAGCATCCTCATTATTAGATAGCAAACTATTACATAGTACAATTTGAATAGGTGTAATTATTGAATCATTAAACAAACAAACGACTGGACAGACAGACAGACAGACAGACAGACAGACAGACAGACAGATAGATAGATAGATAGATAGATAGACAGACAGACAGACAGACAGACAGACAGACAGACAGACAGACAGACAGACAGATAGATAGATAGATAGATAGATAGATAGATAGATAGATAGATAGATAGACAGACAGACAGACAGACAGACAGACAGACAGACAGACAGATAGATAGATAGATAGATAGATAGATAGATAGATAAATAGGTAAATAGATAGATAGATAGATAGATAGATAGATAAATAGGTAAATAGATAGATAGATAGATAGATAGATAGATAGATAGATAGACAGACAGACAGACAGACAGACAGACAGACAGACAGACAGACAGACAGACAGACAGACAGACAGACAGACAGACAGACAGATAGATAGATAGATAGATAGATAGATAGATAGATAGATAGACAGACAGACAGACAGACAGACAGACAGACAGACAGACAGACAGACAGACAGACAGATAGATAGATAGATAGATAGATAGATAGATAGATAGATAGATAGATAGATAGATAGACAGACAGACAGACAGACAGACAGACAGACAGACAGACAGACAGACAGACAGACAGACAGACAGATAGATAGATAGATAGATAGATAGATAGATAGATAGATAGATAGATAGATAGATAGATAAATAGGTAAATAGATAGATAGATAGATAGATAGATAGATAGACAGACAGACAGACAGACAGACAGACAGACAGACAGACAGACAGACAGACAGACAGACAGACAGACAGACAGAAAGTGTCCATGCAGCAATACAGCGCTTGCTCGCTATTGTGCGCGACGATGTTTCTATGCAGGCGTGGACTGTTTCGAGTGGCTGTACGAGTCGCTGAAGAAGAGGCAGGCGCAGGAGAGCGACCTGCCCAAGGTCATGCTGAGCCACCACCAGTACCAGGTGCACCAGGAGACGACGCAGACGTCGGTATCCAAGCAGCCCGTCTTCACCGAGGCGGCCAGGCACAGCGAGGCCACCACCACCCTGCGGTCCTCCACGGTTACGGCTAGGGCCATACTCAAGGAACCCGCCACTTCCCAAGACGATGCCGAAGCTGAAGCTCCCTACGAGTTCGGCTTGTCCAAGCCTGAGGCTATACACGTCCCTTTAGGTGAGAGCCGTAACGGCGCCCAAAACGTCTTTTACTGTTTCACACGCAAATCGACTATGTTCACTGTAATTAAGTGGTTTTCACAATGTGAAATGCGCATTATCATAGTGGCAAAAAGAGTGTGGCGTGATACTCATGAATGAAAGCGTGTTCGCGATTTAAATAATTAACTAGTGTTGTTTTTACTATCATTTCTAAAGTTCTTATTTAAGAATAATTTGGACGGTAGAAAATAGTATCCATAGCCAAAATTCAAAATTTCGATATACAACTGGAATTAAGGCTCTACCTCGACTGGTTAAACGAAGAAGCCGCCTCAGCGAATTGCGGGAACAGCGCGAACGCTTCTACCGCAGAGGTTTCTAAAATAATACCCAGAGGACTCTATGGCTTCTAAAAGTTCTTCACTCAAACGTTACCTGGCTTTCTTGAGTCTGCCAGCTTGGCAGCATATGTAGAGCAGATACTAAGTACGAGTCCTAGCGGACTAGCAGCCTCTCTTCTCCACCCGGTGGTTGCTAACCGACCTGCAAAACGGACAGTTCGAACTGGAATCACTAGTATACTGCAAGGGTAAATAAACCGACCTGTTTTACTACCTTTGATTCACTTGATCTTATATCACCCCTTTTTCGTATCTATCACCATCTGACCAATACTTGTGTGCGAGGTTTGTTCCCGATGTCATCGGGAGCAACCTAGGGTAGAAGGTATACATGACACTGGTCCCGATGTCATCGACCTTCTTTCTTTATATATAGGACCAACTACAGATGCGCATCGTTCTCAGCTATATGAATACTTCTACCTCAGATAGTTTAACCGTTAAATGGTGTCATGCTAATCGAACTAGAATGCGTCTCGCTGATAGCTAGTCACGCGAAGTATAGAGTTTTCTACAATATTTACTAGAGGGCGGTGACGTTGCGATAGTTATGCTACCGCGCCAATGGTCGGCAGCGTTGGATTTGCGGCTTATAACGCACTTGTCGGTCCGTTTTGTTATCTTTTGGTGTCTGTTTCAGATTAAAAAATGGCTCCTTCTGAACCTCGTAAATTGATTTGAATTCGTGAGAATAAAATGATTAAGGCTGTTAAAGTGGAAGCGATAAACTTTCGCTGAACTTTGTGAACGGGAACACAGTGTGGAGACAATGCATCTACAGGCTCCCCATACACCCAAGCGCCAGATTTTTTCTATGTGTATTACTATGAAGCACAATTCCCCAAGAGTCATTAAGAAACCTACCAGTTTATCTTTTCTATTTTTTTACTTTACCTGATATTATATCATCGTTCATTGATCCGCCCCGCCACGGTGGTCCAGCGGCTAAGGTACTCGGCTGCTGACCCGCAGGTTGCGGGATTGAATCCCGGCTGCGGCGGCTGCATTTCCGATGGAGGCGGAAATGTTGTAGGCCCGTGTACTCAGATTTGGGTGCACGTTAAAGAACCCCAGGTGGTCGAAATTTCCGAGCCCTCCACTACGGCGTCTTTTATATAATCATACGGTGGTTTTGGGACGTTAAACCCCACATGTCAATCAATCGTTCATTAATCCACCACTATCTCACAAATACCAGCGCGCTAGGTTTGTTTCCGTACTAACCCCTGCTGATGTAGTCACACATTTCTTATTTTTTTGTTTATTTATATGACCAACTACATGATGTGCACTCCCCTCTGCGATATCAATACGTTGATTTCAAGAATTTTTGTTATTCTAAAGGTGTTACGCTAATCAAACAAGAATGCGCCCAAGCAATAGCTTGTCAAACGGACGACTAGCAGCCTGTGGTAAAAAAAAAAGCGGTGAGTTGTCGCCGTGCCATCCGCTTTTTGAACAGACTATTGTTTTGTATTGTGGTGCGTACTGTTTAAGCACAGTGCTATAGCGGAAACACTTGAAATATACCAGGCAGGTGACCAGTGTGTCAGTATACCGTCAATGCATTATCATTTTATCACACATGACACTAACCTTCCTCTTTTCTCTAGTCTGTATTTCTTTGTTTTTTGTTTTTTTGCAGTGTCATGTGTTCATATGTGCGCACGAGTTGGACTAAAGTGATAAGACAGATGCTTGGTCTAGTTTGTGATTGGGAATCAACATATTTGCACAGCGCAAGAGTACGAGTAGTTACGACGCAACTACAGAAGAAGAGACAAGAACAGAAAGAGCGACAGAAGGTTCCTCCATCTAGCACGGCTATTGCAGCGCTCTCTCTGTCCTTGTCTCTTCTTCTGTAGTTACGTCGTAACTACTCGTACTCTTGCGCTGCGCAAATATGTTGGTTTGGCTAAAGTGTTAGAGAACGTTAGAGCCCGTTCGCCTTGGTAGATCAGTGGCTAGGAGGCTGGGCTGCTGACCCGAAGGTCGTGGGTTCGATTCCGGCTGCAGTGGTTGCACTTTGATGAAGGTGAAATAGTAGTGACCCGTGTACTTTGCGATATCCGGGTAGGAGCACCCGATGCTTGAAATTTCCGGAGACCTCCGCTACGGCGTCTCTAGCAATCATACCTCGTTCGTCGAAGCCCACATATTAATGCTATAGCTCGTCCCGTCGTCTTGTTGCCCTGTGTTCGTTTCCGATCTTTCGTATTCTGCTTAGTACTAGAGTAAAGCATGACGATTGAAATACAGGTTGTAAAATACAGAGCTCGACGCCATTTTTATGAAGTTCCAAGTCCCCGATACGAACCACGTGCACACAAACTGTTCTGAACTCTCGTACAATCAGGAACTCCAGAATTCAGACCGCATCTTTACATCCTCAGGTTAATGCACCCTCACCCAAAGGGTTCGGTCGTCTAGAGCATTTTGGTCCTGGAATGGTATTGATGTATCCACATGTGAGGTGAGACACATTTACCTCAAACTTCAATGACGGTATGACACTGAACTCTGGAGATTATTCTGCTAAAGAAATATTCGAAACGTGCTATCGGGAAATCTTTGAAGTGCTCTAGGTGTATAAACAGGCTATGCTTGCCATTTTTTTTTTTGCTCCGTATAATTTCAACTTGGTGCTCGCTAATATCGCTACAGTGTAATGTAGGTGTTATCGTTATCGGCGTTTTGATGGTGAGTGTCGTAGCGTGACCTTCGGGCCTTGTTGCGACTGATTTTGTATGAACATATTGTTTTTAGTTCCTCCATTTATCACGCCTATTGCAAGGCTTGATTGATTGATTTGTGGGGTTTAACGTCCCAAAACCACCATATGATTATGAGAGACGCCGTAGTGGAGGGCTCCGGAAATTTTGACCACCTGCAGTTCTTTAACGTGCACCCAAATCTGAGCACACGGGCCTACAACATTTCCGCCTCCATCGGAAATGCAGCCGCCGCAGCTGGGATTTGAACCCGCGACCTGCGGGTCAGCAGCCGAGTACCTTAGCCACTAGACCACTACGGCGGGGCTATTGCAAGGGCTGGTTTTTGTGCTTTGCACACGTATTGTCCCACTGTTCAATATTTTATTTTTGGCTGTGACAATTTCATTGCTGGATGGCGAGTGTAGTACTGTATTTTCTTTTTTTTAACTGGTGTACCGAGCACCTGATTTGGTTTTCAGGAGGTATTCGCGTCGAGCATTGGCGTTGGCGCTTTTGTTTGGTTGTTCTGCTACGATATAATGCGGTAGAAAAAAAAAAGAACAGTTTTAATGCTTCTTGACGAAAGCCACCAGGTGTGAAATATTGTGTTCTTTTAAAGAGATAGTGTTAAAGAGCTCATTTCGCAGAAATTTCGTCGTTCGTTATGAGCGAAAAATTACCATTTCTGTGCGACCAAAAATAACGATGCAAATAAAAATATAGAAATATATAAAAAGCTGGTGTTCTACCACACAGCCACGCCTATGCTTGTGAATACCGTGAAAATGACCTACTCTGCCTCTGCTTGGAAATGCAGTGAAAGTAACTTTCATGCTTTACAACACACGCGTCCTGTGTACATGCTTCACAATACAACATGAAGTATTACCGTAATAATGCGTGCTACAAGCGCCCATTGCCATCGGGCGTCAGAACATGGGATTCTCATAATGACTTCGTGGTTTAAAGCCAGTCGCCCACTACAAAAGGCGCACACGCTACTGCACCCTTAATGAGTGCATAGTAAAGTTCGAAGAGATTACGATTCCTACACGGAGTGTTTGAAGTACGCACTATAGGAACAGAATATCGCTATCGCGTTCAACTCTTTTAGGGGCGAAGCTCCTTAAGGCGTGGGCTGTGCGTCCCCTGTATGTAGCCACCTCTCGTTTAGTTCTTGCAGTGTTCACTAGATGGCGGTACCGTCCCCTGAATGTAGCCACCTCTAGTTTAGTTTTTGAACTTTTCACTAGATGGCAGTACTTGTAGCTGATAATGAAAAGACGCAAGATGTTATAAACGTGACGGCGGTAGTTATAGTTGATGACGAAAGATGCGAGATGTTATAAAATAGGAATGATGTCACATATGGCGCGTGCCATTGGTGGAAGGCAATCGTTTGATTTAGTGCAGCGACGTACGCTAGGGGGAGCGTTGTAATAAAATCGAGTAGGCAGAATGTATGGAGGATTCATGGTTTACCTCCGCAGCTTCGCCCACTCATCATCATTCACTTCGTGGATATGGCGGCACTTTTTTTTGCTTGTGAAGCCCGATTGCACTATATAAGACGCTAGACTTCTCTCTAGCGAGGTCCAGGACCGGATCTTGGATTGGGCCAAGGGGGTAGCGGAGACCTACGCTGGGTAGGCTCCTCTGACACTCCACCACCGCACCTTTCCCTCTTGGGATAAATAGAGTTTTTCTCCTCCTCCTCTAGCATTATTTTTGGAACTCTTTTTACGCTCTGAAGCAAGCATCCGAATGTACCCAAACCCCCGTATTCAGAAACGCTCCTTGATTTGAACTTGACTTGAAATCACCTACAGACAGCGCTTTCGAAACGCGTTTGTGCTGCGTCGGTGGCGAGTCGAGTTCAAGTCAAGCAGCGTTTCTGAATACGGGGCTAAGTGTATAAAAAACTATTGGAAAATTTTACACGTTCTCTAACATGTTGCAGCTACTGAACCTACTCTAAGCTTAAAATGACAAAACATTGAGCCATAGTTGGAAGGTGCTCATCATAGGTAAGGTTAGGCGCGCAGACGCAGCCACAGCTGAAGAGAAGCAGACGACACAAACGATCGCCCATCATCTGAAAACGCGTAGGCCTAACCCTTTTGTAGCATGGCCAGTTGATAGCTGCAAAATTCCGCGCGAGATTCGGACCCATTGGGAGCAGACGCAAGCTCTTGCGAAGTCTACATCTTGAACAGCCTTAATCCTACTCGAGCGAGGCTCGTAACAAGCTACAGGTATACGGTGTCCACGCTATCACGCGCGAAAACGCGACGCCGGTGTGTGCCCAGGAATGCGGCCCTCTCCAGGTGACACGCATGTTCTCACCTGTAGTGGTGGGTGAAATGCACGGGCAGAGCAACGCCGACTAAATTTCAAGGCCGAAAGGCTGCCGCAGTTACGTCAGAGGGTATGGGCCCAGTTACGCCGCGAACGCGGCGAAAAGCCTGTGTTTCGTTCACGTTTTAGGAGAACCAACGCTCTCGCTCTCGCAGCTGCTGCGGCTTGATTGGGCCGAATAAAAGATGTGGCAAAAAAAAAGTCTTACTGAGCATGCTCAGTTGGGCAACTGGGCCCCCATCCTCTGACGTCACTGTGGCAGCCTTTCGGCCTTGAAATTCAGTCGGCGTTGGGCAGAGGCACAGGGTCCGAGAGAAAAAAGTGTGCGTGCTATCTCTCTGGACCGCGAGCTTAACCGACGCGAGGGAGAGAGAGAGTAACGATAAAAGAAAGACAGGGAGGTTTACCAGGGCTGAGCCCGGTAGGCTACCCTGCACTGGGAAAAGGGGAGGAGATAAGAAAAGTTAGAGAAAAAAGAAACACTGTAGCCGTCAATGCTACAACAGTTTCGCGCCCGACATCACAGACGGTGAGGTGAGTCCCGTGGCTGAAATAAACCATGCACCTGAATTG